TCCTTACTGGTCTCCTGTCATTCGCTCTTGCCCCTTTCCAGTCTGTTCTTCATTCTGTAGCTAGGATGATTGTTCTAAAACACAACTTTCCTGTTGTACATCACCCTCCCTCAACTCCATCCCCCATCACTTCAAATAAAACCTACGACACTCAGTGGTCTGGCCATCACCTAACTCTCCAGCCTTATCTCATGCCATGCCTGTTTTCTTCTCGATCTAGCTATGGTCACCTTCTTTCAGTTTCTTGTACTGTTTATGCTTTTTCCTGCCACAGGGCCTTTGCATATGTGTGTCCCTCTAAGTGGAATGTTTTTCCCTACCCTCTTTTCTTGGTTAACTTCTACCAATTGTTTGGATCTCTGCTTGATAGTCACTTCCTCAGTGATGGACTCTCTGACCACGCTGATCAGGTCACATCCTCATATTGCATGCTCTTAACATCTGTGCATCTGTTAACCGTAACATTTATCATTTTTATGTTTGTGAGAATGTTTAAGTCCACATCTCCCATAAGACGATGAGTTCCATGAAACCATAGACCATGTATTTTTTTTCATTATTTATTCTTTATACCTTACATATAAACATTATAGGTATTATTTTCTAAGTATGAATATTTTTTCATTTTAGAAGTGAAAAGTTTTATTGCAGGTGAAGAATTTGTTATTTCTTTGTTACCCTACATTCCTATTCTCTAGTTTAAGAAGCGCTCCAATTAACTAACTTAGCCTATGGCAACATAAGTATTCTTAAAGAGAAGCTCCTATCCTGTTCCTGCCTAGGCAATATTTGGACTAAGGGCACATCTTTATATTTAATCCTAATTTATATCTGCCTTTAATGATAATTTCAGTCAGTTGATAAGTCTTTGAAGTGTGTTTCTCTGAAATTTCTCATATCAATTTTTCTCTGAATTTAGTGTCTTTTGCTAATTCAATGAACATACTTTCTTCCTTAGCTTTGTGTACATTTTTTTTTAAGTCACTAAGTTCTGAGGTTTCATGTGTTTGGGAAATATCCTGAACATATTCAAGAGTTCAAATATATTTGAGAAATGTTGGCCAAAGTTTAATTAAACCATCCAACATTGATTGACTGAGTTTTTATTACATCCCAGGTACTCTTGTATGTTCCTGATTATGGGACTTCTCTGAGCTTTTATTTGAATGTTGATGTAATGGGCGTATGCCCGGATAAGTTCCAAATCTACTTCTGGTAACAATTTCTGAATAGGCTAGGGTAAATCAGGTTATGCAGCAGTAAAAACCACCAAATTGCAGTGACTTAAAGCAGCAAAAGCTTATTTCTTGCTCATTCTATCTGTACATCTTTTTGACAGCAGAGGGCCTTTACTTATTATAGTCCTTAAGTGACTCAGGTTGGTAGACAAGCAAACATTTTGAATATTGCTAATTTCCTCCTCCTCTTCTTCCTCTTCCTCCACTTCCTCCTTCTCCAGGAATAGCTGATTGAGGTATAATATTGTTAGGGACCTTTTTTTCCTGCAGAGAAAGTAAGTTCTGGATTCTTGCTCCAGCATTTAAATGTTCTAGCCCACAAGTGATACACAGCTTTTAAATGTTCTGCTCACAACTCATTGCCACAACTAGTCAGTTGGCCCCAACCAACCGCAGAGGTATCCAGGAAGTGCAGTCCTACTGTGTGTTCCAAAGGTAGAGAGCCTGAAATGTATGGTGAACAGCACTAATAACTATTCCGTGTGCGTGTAGTACTGTTTGTAGAAACTTTTCTTCATGAGGCATCTTGGAACACTGTGTTTCATAAGGGATCGCTTGGGAAACACTGGATTCTATTCTAGAAACAACCAGAACCAATAGAGGCAAATTCACTAGAAATCATCACTTCAGCATGGAACTTTCCATCAGCCTCCTTAGGCTGTGGCCATTCAGGCAGGTGCAACTCCACCCCAGCCCCCATCACCATTCAACACTAATTCCTCCTGTTTGCAAGACTTTTGTGAGTTTGTGAAGTATTTTGCTGAATGCAAAAGCTACTAAGCCTGTAACATCCTTTTTGAGTTACAAGGCTACTTACTTGAAGCAAGATTAATTTGGCATGACTCTTGAATCCATGAGTTGAACCTATGGTTGAATCTATTTCAATGACAGTACAAAAGAAGAAATGCTACATAGATTTCATGCAAGTAATAAAAATGGATTTGAAAGTGTTCCTGGAAAACATGAAAATGCAAACAACATTACAGGCATGCCTCACTTTATTGTGCTTTGCTTTATTTAGCTTGCATTTTTTACAAACTGAAGGAAAGACCCTCTACCAGCAAAAACAATACCACTTGCTTTATTGTGATACTTGCATTATGGTGGTGGTCTGAAACTGAACCTATAATACTTCTGAGGTATGCCTGTCTATGGATGTTATATTCACTAGTATAAATACCACCCATATGCAGAACCAAACAAGGCTGCATGAAAAGTATGAAACCAAGTCTAGCTAGGAGAGAAACAACATGAACAGGAAAGATTGAGGGATGAAAGCAGTATCAGTCTTCCATGTAAAATTGCAAAACTTCCATGTAAAAGTGACTGAGGATGAACACTTCCTTAGGTTGCATGTGGTAACAGAAATACAATTTCTATTGCAAACCATGAGGCAGTTCCCAAGGAGTGCAGGTACTTTAATGAAATGCTGTGTTAGGCTTTGGTGTCCTGTAGCTGTATATGCCACTTATTTCTGTGTAAGTTGGGTTTTGGATAACAGGCCCGAGGGAATTGGGCCCTGCAGGTAAGGGCTCTCATGATTTTGATCTGGCCATACCGAGACAAAGGAGCTGAAAGGGGCTTTGAGGTCGGCTTGTCCAGGACAAGGGGCTGGTTCTTGCTACATAATGGAGTGAACAAGTCCATTGACTTTAGAGTATATTGGTTTACACCCTGATGTGTTTTAAAAATGACTGAAGACCAATTTCTTGGGTATCTGTAAATCCCAAGAATGAGGAATTTTTAAAAAAGAAAACAAAGAATCAAAAAGAAAAAGTTTTGTGTGATAACTATTATAATTCAGAGTAAAAGACACCCTCTGTCCTTACTTTCCCAAGTCTTAAAAAATGAAACTGAAAACAATAATTCAGAAAACCATCATTGTTTAACTTTTGTGACTGAAGGGGATAGTGCATATTCTAAGAACTCAAATGTTTTAAGATTTCAGGTTTCGTTGCTTGGTTTTCTGGTGGCAGAATGCAAGCGGGGTGGACGGAAGACCAGGTGTTAGTTTGAGAGAAGCAGCATAAACAGAAAACACTGCCCCGGGAGCAAGGAAGGCTTGTGTCTGGACCTGTTTCTGTCCCTAATCAGTTATGTGGCTTCTGGCAAGTGGTGTCCTCATTCTGGACCACAGTGTCCTCTTTTGTTCAAAAAGTTAAAAAAAAAACAGGGGCTTAGAGCCTTTAATGACAGCTCATTTGTGCAGTGCTTTTTTTTTTCTTTTTAACATTCGTTTAGTGCTTTTCTGTTTAGAGAGCCCTTCCTTCCATCTCCATGACTTCATTTGCTCCTCACAGCAGCCCAGCAGAGTACTTAGTGTGCTTATTGCCCCCCCCCCCTTTTCTACAACGGTGATCCACAGAGGCACATACAGCTCCAGGTGGCCCGAGGGCACATGCAAACCCAGATTTTCTGGCTTCCGTGCTTGGCTTGTTTGTTTGTTTCTATCAGACAGTTCTAACATTTTTAATAATGTAGGGAGTTGTAGACATACCTTTTCTTTCTTTTTTATTTTTATTTTAAAATATTATTTAATAGCACTTGACCACCTCTGGGGACATCAGCACCGTCAGCGCCATAGAGCCATGGGAAGAGGGATAGAGAATCACCAAACAGGATGTCATTTCTCTTCCCAACAGTGAAATTTCCAGCTTTCCAATCAGTTATTTCCTTGCCCCCTTTCCTGGGGAGGTCACCACTGTGTCCTGTCTCCTTGCCTTTGTGCCTGTAGCTCTACACATCGGTGATGACAGCGCTCGGGTCTCCGCAGGTGCTCGTAGTGACACAGACCTTGTGAGAGATGTCTCTGGTCCTAGGTTGTTGGATGTGAATAGGCTTTCTTTCAGAGATAGCCTAATCTGAGAGAAATCCCCTTTGCTTTTTGACATGGCTGAATGATAGCGTCAGGAATCCTTTGAAATCCAACAAAATAAGTATGCCCGCTTGGTGCCATCTTTCCAAACATAGGAAATCTGTTATTCTGCTTGACATGCCTTAGGGTCCTAAAATAAGATTTATATTTGGATACTCAGTCCTTTCATTTTGCGTTTTGGGCTTTTGGATGAGGTGTATTGTGGTGTCATTGGACATGGCAGGTAGCAATGTTCGTCTATGATCTTCTGTATTGTGAGTTTCATAGTCCAACCCTCGGAGGTGGTATACAAAAAAAAGGTTTAAAATGCATAAGTATGTCCCACATCTTTGCTTAAACATCACTTCTCACCAACCCTGCCCTGTAGGTTAGCTACATATTTGCATACTTCTCGTTACTTAATTCATAGTTTGAATGTGTTTAATGAGTTTTCTGTGATGGGGTGGAAGAGGTCTCTCCAGGACCTACCCCAGCAGGCGCTTAATGATGATCTGATGTCTGACTGCTCGATATTTCATTTCACAGGAACAGACAATATACAGATAACTGTCCCCCCAAACCCAGAGTCATTTCCTCATGGGCAGTTGTTACCGATTTCACCAACATGGCCTTTCTCAGAAGTCCAGTCTTCCTCAGCAGTGGACAGAATCACGAATGTGCTGGGACCATCCCCTGACAACACAAGCGTGCTGCAGTTTGCCCGAACACCTCCTCCCAAGAAACACCGCAGAGCTAGGGCTCATGGGGACGTCTCTTCTTCCCCTTACCAAGGAAGTGGATATAGCACCTCCCTCGAGCCTTCCAAGGATTCCACTGAGTCTCTGGTCCAACCAGGATCTCAAGGGGGAAAAGGAGCAGCTGCCGTGACAGGTTTGCCTCACACCAGCATGCTCCCCCCATTGTCCACTGTCCCATCAGTGATGTCCTTAAGTGCTGTCCTCCCATCTCAGTCAGTATGGGTAGGGACTCCTTCCATTTCAAAACAGCATCCCCCGAGGTCAGATACCCTCCCACCTCCCCCACAATCTCTGTTCACTTCATGGACTCCTGACTCATCTCGTTCCGTCATCTTTTTTAAGCCAGCTGAGCGACCCACCAAAGTGCCTTTATTCCCTCAAACAGCTCCAACTCACTTCTCTTCAAGTCAGAGTGTATCTAGTCCCCTAAACCCATTTGCTAATGAACTGAACCACACTCCATCCAAAAATGCCCAGGATTTAACAGGCACCCCTCGCCTAAGTTTTTCTGGATCCTCAACAAAACAATATTCGGAGCTGTCTTTCACCAAGGGTCCTCGCTCAGCAGGCTCCCCCACTCCTGAGTTTTTTAGTTCCATGGCAGAACTGACCCATCTGTCTCCCCCTCCCCTAGCACCTGGAAGTCTTTGGCTTCCAGGTGGAACTCCCTCATGGTCAAGGTCGGAAGTGGCTTCAAGTCCTGCATCCCCCCAGCCAGTCGAAGCTGAGGTGGCTGAAAGAGTGCACAATGGGGTGTCTTGGCCAGCTTTGAAGAGTGCAGCAGCGAGCCATGAGGCTGTGCCTTCCCTGTTCCAGACTGCAGAGTCAGTGGCAGTGGAAATGACCAGCAGAAAGCTAGCCCCTGCTACTGCAAATGCCTCTGCTAACCCACTGCGTTTGTCAGCAGCTCCAGAGAATTCCGAAGGGCCCGCCCTTTCCACAGAACACACATCCTCCTTTTTGGTGCCTTCTCCTCTGCCTCTCACCACGGCTGACCAAGGACAAGCCATCCTTCCTGGGGCGATTCCTGCATCACCATCGAATGGCGCAGCGGCAGATTTTCTCTCCACGGCCACTTTCCTCCAGTCGGCACAGAATCATGCCTCGCCCTCCGCCGAACCCAAAATGCCAACTCCTCAGGAAGAGGGCTATGAGGGACCGTCTCCTACTGCAGCCTCAGACTTCCTCCTCTCAAGCCAGTTTCCTAATTTCCTTTCCACGACTTGGACATTTCCGCTGCAGAAAGACGATAGCGCAACGGCTGTTTTAAAGAAAAACGAAAAGGCACATTTGACAGTTGCTCTCCAGATCCTTCCAAGTAAGGAGAGTCCAAGTCTTCACACTGTAAGTGGATTCACCTCTGCTTTTAGCACTGGTCATAGTTCATCTACTGTCGTTACAACACCAAGAACAAGCCTTCCTTCAGAATTACCTCCACGTTCCATCCCCTCCATCCGAGCCACCCAGACCGTTCCCCCATCTCCCAGCTTTTCCAGCAGCAAGCCAGAGACTTATTCAGCGGCAGCAAACCATTCTGAGTTGCCAGTTTCATCTTCCAAACAGGTGACAGCATTTCCCTCCTCCACTGAGGTCTATGATTCCTCAATAATGGGAAATGGGAAAAAGCCAGCAGCCACAGATGTTTTCTGGAGTCCTCTTTCAGCAGAAACTGGATCCCCGTCCACAGAACCACTGCTATCTGGCTTGCTGCAGCAAACAAATTATGATCTAAATGGGCACACAATTAACTCCACAAGTTGGGAAGCTCATTCAGCTTCATCTACTGCTCCCACTGGTTTAACTTCAGCTGTTCGTACAATAAAATCTCAGGATTTCAAAGACCCTGCTCGGCATGTAGCAACTGCAGAAGGCTTTCACGTTCAGGACCCAGTCCTTGATACAAGCACCAACCAGCCGGTCCAACAGTCAGATGTTACTGTGGTTGGAAACCACACAGACGTCTTGTCCACAAGTAATAACCATTCTGGAAGCTTCCAAGCAGCTGAGGTTGAAGATTACCCACCTGCAAGTCAACATGTCTCATCTCATCCCCATCTAGAGTTACCTGCCCATCCAGTACGTTCTCCCTTGCTAACCTCTGTGAGTCTGCCTTCCACAGCTGGCTCACAAGAAATGCTTTCAGATGGAATGGATACAAGTTTCCAAATTTCCAGTAACATCTATCCATCTCCTGTACTAAATGCTTCCGCACCATTCCAGAGTATCCTGAGAGATCACTCTACGGCTGAATCTCCTCTGTCAACCAGTGCCTTGTTCAGGACCCCATCCAAAGTGCTGCTGGCTTCTCAGAGCCCCAAGAAATGGACAGGTGCAGCCACTAATGCAGGTAGTTTGCTTCCTGGTACCCAGAAAACAGGTATGACTGCTTCCGTGGCCAAAGCGTCTTCGAGCTCAGCACAGATACCCAGCTTTGCTCAGAAGGAGCAGACACCCTTTCAGGCTGACGAATGAGTTAGCAGCCCACATAGTCATGTCCTTGATCCTCTGCTGACTTGATTTTTTGCAAAGTATTCAGAATGTAAGTGTCCTTGTTACCAACCATAGCTTTGCTACAAGAGGCATTCTCATTGTGGTTAATTGTCTTTATGAGCCGAAGCTGTTTTGCCTAAATTTCAGAGCACAGAGATTTTTCACCCCAGCAAACCCGTAAGTCCCATCCATTCATCACCACAAGTGATGTGTGCACTGCAGGCCAATGACAAACTTTGCTTTTTCTCTCTTTATAGGGGACCCCTCAGTGTCGTCCAAGGGAGAATCAACAGCAACAGCAGCAGCAGCAGCCACGTTGTTTCTGAGGAAGTCAAGTCCACCAGCACTGTCTGCAGCCCTGGTTGCTAAAAGCACCAGCAGCAGCCCTTTGGCCGTGGCCTCAGGACTAGTTAAGAGCAGTCTGACCACTGCTCTAGCTAAAAATGTCACAGACTATGGAGCATCTAGCCCAAAGGCAACACCAGGGGCAGTCAATCCAGCCTTCTCGATCACACCATCCTACATGTTTGCAAGATCAGCACACACCATGAGCACTCACACAGCCAGGCAAGGGAACATGGCCACTGCCTCTGGCCTGTTGTCCACAACACACCTCCCCAGGAAACCACAGGCCATGCACACAAACTTCCCAAACCCCACCAACCCAGACATGCCCAGGGCGTCCACCACACGCCCACTGTCAATCACAGCAGCCTTGACCTCCATTACCGCACCAGTGAGGGCTACCCGCTTGCCACCTCTGCTGGCAGAAAACTCAGATACTGCTCTTCCCGCTGCGTCGACAGCGATGGTCACGACAGGCAAAATGGCATCCAACCTGGAGTGTCAGATGTCCAGTAAGCTCCTGGTGAAGACAGGTAAGACTCTGCTATCCTGTTGGTTTTTCTTGTTTTTTTGTTTTTTTAAAGATTTTATTGGGGAGTTAGGGGAGGGGAACAACGTTGGGGAATCGAGGAATTGGGGAAGGGGAACAGAAAAGTTGCTGTCCTTTTGTTCTTCATTCAGTCTAGTTGTGGAGGACGTCGCTTCACTGGCCCATGTTGGTATTATCATTGCGCTCTTCCTGGTGAGGCAGATCAGTCGCCGGCCACTGGATGGCCACTCATGGTGACTTTTGGCAGCTCACGCTGGCTGCCGGCTGCTCACGCTAGCTGCCAGCCACTCATGGTAGCTTACGGCAGCCCACTGCAGCCCCACTGCAGCCTACGCCATCGCCGGCTACTCATGGCAGCCCAGATACAGGTCAAGCTGTTGTTCATCATCTTAGCTGTAGAGAACACAGTGTCACGGGCCCTCATATGTGGGATCCGAACCGGGGCCCTGCTGCTCAGAGCTGGTGTCCCAAGCCAACTCTGAACCAATGCGTCACTCTGCCGGCCCTCTGCTATCCTGTATTTACTTGAAAGCAGCAAGCACATAATGGACTCAGAGATACAACAGAATTATTAGATTTCTTTCAGATCAGAGGTTCTCAACCAAGGGCAGTTTTACTCCTGCTCCCCCAGGGGACATTTTGGCCACAACTTGGAGCGTAGGAGGGTGCTACTGGCATCTAATGAGATAGAGACTAGGGATGCTGCTAAACAGCCCACAATGCACAGGATGGTTGACAACAAAGAATGATCCAGCCCAAAATGTAAGTAGTGCTGAGGTTGAGAGCCCCTGATTTTTATCAAGTGACAGGAGAGGACAAACATGTGACACGGATTCTAGTCTTAGAATCAGTCCTCAGAGCAGAGGCTCCTGGGAAGCCAGTTCGACCAGGGGTCTGAGAAAGCAAATATGCACCAAGTTTTACCTATACAGAGAATCAGTGATGTCTCACATGAATGAATGATGTGTTAGTAAAATACAAAATCCTGGGAAGTACTTTAGAACTCAGCAAGGCCTTTTGTCATGTATTTTCTGAATTAGCAGATACTAAAAGTACAGCTACAGCATACTGTGTGGGCGCCTGGGATTTCTTTTGATGTTAAGAAGGAGACAGACCTTCTTGAAAATGTTGGGGTGGGGGAGATGGATGCTGTCTTTTTAGCCCTCATCTCCCAGTTGCAGCCAAGTAGGCCAGGAAGGCACAGAGGTCCCTTTAATAATAGTGTGGTAGTGTTTGCTATAAAAAGCATTAGACATTATTTGAAAGAGCATGCCAATGTGGAATGCTCTCATCCTGCCTTCCTCTTCACCCCACAAAAAACTACATGAAATTATCTCTTGAGACATATCCTATTCTAAAATGGGAAATTGCTAAACGAGGCATAGCCAAAAGTACAGTATCCCCTTCTATATCTCAAGAAATTATACCATCTGGTGTTCTGCTTTCCCTCCCCCTCTCCCTTCAGATCTCTGCCTCCTCCTTTGAGTGGCAGGCAACCTCAGCCACCTAGAGGCAGAAGTCTGGAACATTCTCCCCCTCTCTTTTCCACTGAGTCCCCCACCCCATCACCCCAGCCACACCCAGTCACCAGTTCCTTTCAGTTCTTCCTCCTGAATACCCTTTCTCTCCACCTGCACTGCCACTTCCCTAATTCACATTGTCACCATCACTCACCTAAATTTCTGCAACAACAGTCCAATTTATCTCTCTTCCTCCAGACCCCCACCTCCAACCTGTTCTCCAGTCTGCGGCCCAGGGAACCTTCTAAAATGCATACTTTTGCTTAAAACCCTACCATTGGCCTCAGGGCCAAGCCTAAACACACATACTGAAATATTTCACTTCTCTCCCTTGTGCCTTTGCACTTGGTCTTCCCTCTGCTGGGAGTGGGTGGGGACAGTTCCTCTCCCACTTGGCCTCGCTGGCTCCCATGATCCTTCAGGCCTCAGCAGCAGCAGCATTTACTACAGGAAACCTTCCCTGATCCCCATGCCCTTGCCCAAGTCAGGGCTGGGTTCTCCTCCGAGGGCCTCCAACAACATCCTAAGCTTCCCTTTAAATAGCACCTGTCACATTCAGTCTCAAATGCCTATTCTCATCCCGGGTCTACATTCCTGTCTCTGTTGCACTTGTGGGGTGGGGACTGCCTTCCTGATTCAGGGCTGTTTTAGGTTGCAGTACCTAGCTCAGGGCTTGCACTTAAGTTAGGCTCTCAGGAATGCAGTTGTGGGAATTTCCTTGCATGAAGACCTATTTGGGCAGGCACTGCTGAACCCCACCTTTGAAAGTCACAGGCAGCATTGGTCAGAAATGAAGTGCCACCAGCATGCTAGCTGTCTCTCCACTGGGACCACACACCTTCATTCCTTGAGGGGGATCAATAGAACTACTACTCTAGTCCACCCCTTTCATCCCTACTGCTAGCTGATTGGACCTGCATTGCCAGCTTCCCTCAGAACTTGCGGGAGGTGGTGGCAGGGGAAGGAAAGGAGGGCTCATTTATTAGGAGGTCTGCTGACTTACCCTGATGACTGCCCTTCTGTTTTGTCCCACAGTTCTCTTTCTGACCCAAAGGAGAGTGCAGATCAGTGAAACCCTGAAGCTCAATGTAGCAAAAGGGCTCACACAGGCACTGCGGAAGGCTTTCCACCAGAATGACGTCTCGGCTTACGTAAGCCCCTTGCTTTTGTAATCAGACTCATCTGTTTGCATCTTCCTCTTGGGTCCAGAGTATGTTTAGATTGTTCTTTCTCCTCCCTGGTACCATAACCATGCTTGCAAGAACTAGTAAATTTCCTCATTTGGGCACATAGCCCATGCATGGTGACTGGAGAAAAAGGTCAAATATCAAGATGGAAAACAGGCTAATTGCCTTATGTCTGGATTTTTTTTTAAGCCTGGATATACTGTTTGAAATTGTCCTATTATCCCATTGTTTGGGGATAGTATTTAATATTGTTAGTGTAATTCTCCAGAAACCATCCATTGCTTTTTCCTTTATCTTCCTCACCATTATAAATAGTGGATTATTTCTGGACATTTAAAAATCACTCTGACTTGTGAATTGGATCCAACTTTGCTTAAATTGCCAGCAGCAGACAGGGAAGTAAACATTTTTTTTTCTCCAAACACTTTAATGCCAGGTACTATTTAACAACTGCTAGCCAATGTTGATGGCATACCCAAGTGGTGGAAGCCTTGCTTTACATGCTTTTGGTTTGATTCCAAGTTTTAAAGCAGTAAATGTGATAGGCAGTCAGTGGACACCTGTTTGTACCACTTAAAAACATTGCTCTGGCCTCTTCCTTTGATGTTTTGTTCTACAGCTTCATTTAGCCTAGTGGTCCCCCCACATACCAAGGACTAGCAATGAAGTTTGGTACATATTTTATTGGTTATTGTCACTCTCTCTTATAAATTTCTGGAGAAAAAAGAGAGAGAGAGAGAGAAAGAAATAAAGACAGACAGAAAGAAAGAAAGAAAGAAAGAAAGAAAGAAAGAAAGAAAGAAAGAAAGAAAGAAAGAAGGAAATTGCATTCTGTCAGAAGCACCTGTGGTTTCTGCACTGGAAACTTTATTTGAAAGTCAAAAATGTGAATGTTTCCATTGGTTGCCCTATACAGTTTTCACTAAACTTTGGTCATTTGCAGATGACCTTCACAGTTTTTGCCTTTTTTTTTTTCATATCATCACAAACCAATGTGACAATTAGTATGTATTAGATTTTTTTCTTAATCGGCTCATTTTTAAAAACTTAAATACATTTCTTTTGAAAGGATGTCTGATATTACCACAAATGGAAATCAGGATCATTTGCCACAAAGAAAAGGTAATCATAAAAATGAGAATAATGGGAACAGCTTGTTAAATTCGAGCTAGACATGGTTGGTAAAAATATGATTAGCAAGGATTGGAGAGGAGTTAAAAGTACATAATCCCCAAACTGAGACTTGGCCCTTGAGGTAATTAGAAGGACTGGAACAGGAGCCACTTTCTCTCTGGTGTTGCTTGGTGCTGTGTCCATACTCCATCCGGAAGTATCTTTGGTTTTACCTAAAGCCATCTTGAACACCACCTTAGGAAACAAAGCGTGGAGGAACCAAAGGCACACCCAGCCTGTTGCAAAATCAGTTGTCTTGGTTTCTTTAGCAAATACACATGACACTATGAATGGAGATGCAAGAATAAGAGCGGGGAGAAAGTGGGTGTTAAAAACACCCTGACTTGTTAATATAAACACTAAAAAAGCAAAAACAAATAAGAATAAAATCTAAAGCCTCAAAAATCTTCCAGTTGGGTCAAAAAGAGCTTAGATCATCAGTGTCCCTTAGGACCCAGCTTTAAGAGAAATTCGCATGGCCCACCCCTGCCTTGGTCTTGAACCAATTTCTAAGTCAAGAATGGAGTCAAGTCTGAGCAATTCTTTTCTCAGCTTCTGGAGAGGGGAATTCACCTCATTTACTACTTGAGCCTTGTACTGAAGGTGCCCCCACTTAATCTATCATTTATGTCTTTTAATTGTCACAATTGATGAGAAATGTAGTAAAGCTATTTTCCCAGCATTTCATTCCCTGGGAATCTCTTTTGTTGGCCATCTTGGGTGATATTTGGTGCTCACAAGATTATACTGAGGCACTTAAGGAATCAAAAACGCACAGATTTAATTCTATTTCATGTATGTTCAATATAAATTATATATTGTTGTATTCTGACATTTTGAGACTTGCCTTGTACGTATGCTTTATAGGATTGTTAGACTATTTGTTGAATGAGAGCATCCTATGCCCCAGCTAGGCTAAATAACAATTGTGGTCCTAGGAAACACCAAGAAGAATTTAAAGCACTGTGGAAATAAATACAGAGTTCTGTGGGTCCATTTGTTTTGTAGGTGGATATTCTAGAACATTCTCACAACGTCACAGTTGGGTATTATGCTACCAAAGGGAGGCTGGTGTACTTGCCTGCTGTAGTGATCGAAATGCTGGCTGTTTATGGGGTCAGCAACGTCACAGCAGACCTGAAGCAACATACCCCGAGCTTGCAGTCGGTGGCAGTACTTGCCACCCCATGGAATCCCCAGCCTGCAGGCTACTTCCAGCTGAAAACAGGCAAGTAACCCAGAGACAAAGGGTTCTTATATGTTCTGGGATTGGGAGGCGTTACCAACGAGACACCTGTTTAACAACTCCACTGCTAACTGCTCTGTCACCTCTTAAAGTCCTTGTCCTGTGTACCTTCCTCAAAGAGCCCTGCTAATCAAGTGTCCAAGTGCCCCACACATCAGCCTAAACTTTTCTTGGATTTATTAGAAATATTTCTTCACTGGAGCCTTTCTTCCTAATATATGTAATTAGTACTTAATGTGCACTAAATACTGTAGTTTTTATTTTTTCTGTATTACTGATGGATACTGATAAGAATGAATATCCATAAAAATCTATGCTTGAGAGCAACATGTTCCAGATGCCACTGAATCAGAATCTCTGAGCTTAGGCCTTGGAAACTTTCTGATTCTGATCTTATGGTTTGTAAACCGCAAAAGTGGAGACACCACTGAAATTGAAAGACTCAGTCAACTTAGTAATGCAGGTCCACTGATTTTTTTCTTTCCCTCCAAAGCAACAGAAGGTATGACCTCTCTTAGGTTTTTTTGTTGTTGTTGTTGTTTTGTCAGTCCTGGATCAGATGTCTACATGTTCCAATCAAATGAAATCTTTTGCATTGGAGGGAATCTCAGGTCTGATCACACTTTGAACTCTTCTAGGTTATAAGTTATCTTAAGAGCCACCTCCAAAATGACAACCAGACTTTGTCATCCTTACTTGCCTAGTATCTCTGGTGTGAAATCGTGCTGTTTTATATTATGACTGCTGTTAAGCCCGAGAAACAAAGACACATCATGGTGAGCACTGATTTATTACTGTCGTTCTAGTGCTTCAGTTCGTGAGCCAGTCCGACAACATACAGTCCTGCAAGTTTGCTCAGACAATGGAGCACAGACTACAGAAGGCCTTCCAGGATGCTGAGAGGAAGGTCCTGAATACCAAGAGCAACCTGACTATTCAGGTAAGGAGGAGGGCACTTGAGCCACGTAGTTGATAGAGGTCAACCATAATGCAAATGTTGGCAAGAAGAATTTGATGCCCCGTTTCAAAGCTGCCTGGGGTAAATGTGACTTTGTACTTCGGGCATGTGGTCTAAATAGGAGAAGGTGCCATCCTGGGGCTACTGATTTGAGTCAGTTCCAGCAATGGTGAGGATGTCTGGAGTATGGATGCTGTGTTGCTCTTTACCTGCTATGGTTTGGGATTTTATACATATTTTCCAATGTGAAGCTTCCTTGGGCCTTTCCAAACATTTGTTATTTTTAAAATAATAAAGTAGAATATACTATATAAGACATGTCAAATGTCTCATAAAATGAATCATTTCTAAATAACTAACTCACTGAGATTTGCCTATTCTGTGGTTTTCATTGTGAACAATCACCTTACTTTACACACACACACACACACACTTAGGGCTTACTATGTGCCAGGCCTGTGCTAAGCGTTTTACAAATGTTTTGCTTCATAATACGCAAGACATCCTTCTGAGGTATTATTACCACCATTTCACAGAAGAGAAACAGGGAGAAGTAAGAAACTTCCAGAAAGTCACATGGTTGGTAAAGAATGGAACAAGAACTTGAGCCAAAGCCCAAACTCTTATCTACCATGCTATAGTAACATCAATGCAATGTAGAAATGGGATCCTTGATGAAACTTTTGGTAAATACATGAATTATTTCCTAGAGAAATTCCACTCCTGGTGTACTGTATTTCAGCTTCCTGGATTTACAGTAGACAATGCCATCAAAAGCCTTTCTCAGACCCATTTTTTGTAATTGTATAGATAAGTACCATCCCACTAAAAACAAATGATTCTTAATGATATTTATCCAGCTCCCACATTTCTCTAATTAACTATACTATCCAATGTCTCTATTTTTACTGAACTAAAAGCCTTTGCAATGAAACCCAGTGGTTTCGAAATTGACATTTAGCATAAGTGAATTATCAGCAAAGCCAATATGATGTAGAAAGCATACAATTTAATTTGAATGGGAAGCCTTCCTTTTCTAGATTCATCCAAAGTGTGTAAAGCATCTCATTATGATTTGGTTCATGGGAGACTAAAATCTAAAAACGTGTCACAGACTTAAGATTTATGTAAGAAGTATGACTCAGCTCCTTTGTGGGAGACCTTTTTCTTTCTGACTGGGTTTGTGATCCTCACAGGAGCA